CCTTTGTGACATCTGTAGCCAAGTTCACATACCTTCATTGTGTGGCAGACATGAAACAGAAGAATGTGGATGCTGTGAAGGTAGGAACTTGAATGGCTAAGCAGTACGTTGATGTTCTTTTGCAATTTTTGACCAATGCATAACATGATAAGAAGGACCATATTATGCAAGGCATATCAGGCACGGCTTCTGTTGATCAGTTTAGCATGTATTTTGAGTTTGTACAAAGATAAATGAGGTGGTTCATTTTTTAGAACACTGAGAGAACATGATCTAGGTTGCTTTTGAAAGGTGATGGAGAATACTTTGTTTGGGTGGTAATGAATAAATACATTTACGTGCACACTCTACATTTGTCAACAGAGCTTTCAAACTGTATGCGTTAAATTATGCAGCAGAAGGAATACCACAGTACATTATGAGTCTTATTCAAACCTTTTTTTTTGCAGAGGCTTTTTTCTCCCATTATTTGGTTCTTTTTCACCACTTTATTCTTTGTTTTCCATACTTGCATTATATTGAAATTTTCAAGAATAAATTGTGTATGCCTATGTAGCCTCTTAATTTTTGTTGATGCCACACTTTGATGACTTCAGAAGTACGTAGGAGCTTGAACTTATCGAAGTATTGAATGCTTGCACAGGTGCACCATGCACTGTATCATACGTATACTCTTAAGCTATCATTTATCGTCAATGATGTATGAAGTAACACTTGAATCTAGTATGAGTCTCTTTGTCCATTTTATAACGAGTCATAATTTTTCTACTTAATGTTTTTCACAGGCTATAATATCCATTGCAATCGAAGATGGTGATTATTTGCAGGAAGCTTGGGAGCATGTGCTAACATGTCTTTCACGGTTTGAGCATTTGCATCTTCTTGGAGAAGGGGCGCCTACGGATGCTTCCTTTTTGACAGTACCTCTGGTTGATTCAGAAGAAAAAACACAGAAATCAAGTACCAATACAGCCTCAAAACGAACTAATGCTCTTCAGAATCCAGCTGTCATGGCTGCTGTTCGAGGCGGTTCTTATGACAGCACAACAGCAAAAAATAATGCCTCAGCTTTAGTTACTCCTGACCAGATTAACAACTTCATATCAAACATTAATCTATTAGACCAGATTGGCATTTTTGAGTTGAATCATATATTTGCTCATAGCCAAAGATTAAATAGCAATGCAATTGTTGCTTTTGTGGAAGCTCTTTGCAAGGTCGCAATCACAGAGTTGCAATCACCTACAGATCCTCGTATCTTCTGCCTAACGAAGATAGTGGAAATTGCGTAAGATTTTTGCAACACCTATTTCCAGAAATAAAGTTACGTCATCAACACTTTCTGAAGTGTTTTAACTCAGAGCATGATTTGTGCAGGCATTACAATATGAACCGCATACGTTTGGTTTGGTCTCGTATTTGGAAAGTTCTATCTGATTTCTTTGTGTCTGTTGGGTCGTCAGAAAATCTTTCTGTGGCAATATTCGTCATGGACTCCTTGAGGCAGCTAGCCATGAAATTTCTTGAAAGAGAAGAACTAGCAAATTATAATTTCCAGAATGAATTCCTGCGACCTTTTGCGGTGGTTATGCAGAAGAGCAATGCTTCAGAAGTACGAGAACTTGTGGTTCGATGTGTCTCCCAAATGGTTTTGAGTCGTGTTAACAATATAAAATCAGGATGGAAAAGCGTTTTCACGGTGCGTATGGTGTTCTATGGTTATTCTTAGTTTGCCTTGATTATTGTAGCATAACTTTATAGAAGCTAGTTCGACAAATAAATGGAACATTCCTAGTTTACCACTCAATATTTATGACGTTTTATCTTACAGGTTTTTACTGCGGCTGCTGCTGATGATCGAAAAAGCATTGTTCTGTTAGCATTTGAGACTATGGAGAAGATTGTCCGGGACTATTTTCCATACATAACTGAGACTGAAACCACAACATTTACTGATTGTGTTAAATGTCTTATTACATTCACAAGTAGTAAATTTAGCAGCGATGCCAGTCTCAATGCTATTGCTTTTCTTCGGTTCTGTGCTGTGAAACTTGCCGAGGAAGGATTTGTCTGTCATGACAAGGATACCGACCATCAATCAAATAATTTGGATTCTTCAGAGGGGAATGCCATAGTGCACAAGGATGATCATGTTTACTTCTGGGTTCCTTTGCTTGCTGGTAGGCTACCTTTTCTTTCACAGAGACTGCTATATTAGTTTGGAAATGCGTCACATCCGTAATATTGTTCTTGTTTGAATTTTCACTTTTCCAGGTCTAGCTAGATTGACAACCGACACACGGCCAACTATCAGAAAAGGTGCAGTAGAAGTACTCTTTGACATTTTGAAGGACCATGGAGAACTCTTCTCTCAGTCCTTCTGGACCAATATCTTTGGATCTGTTATTTATCCTCTATTTAATGGTGAAATCCGTACACCCAATGGTCAAAGTGACAGCACTGAGGATGATTCATGGAATTTTGAAACTAAAACAGTGGCTGTGAAATGTTTAGTGGATCTGTATGTTACATTTTTTGATGTGATGCGGCCAGAACTCACTAGAGTTACCTCTGTTGTTACCAGTTTTATCAGAAGCGCTTATAGACAATCTGCTATCACTGGTATGTCTGTTTTTCAGCGTTTAACAGAAGGGCTTGCAAGCAAACTCTCCAAGGACGAATGGAAAGAGATCTTAGTATGCTTTAAAGAAGCAGCAGCACATACATTGGTTGTTTTCGACAAAATAGTTAAGATGATGCAAAATATTGAAATTCCAGAAAGAAACGAGTCTTACTCTGAAGCAGAGAAATATTCAGATCCTGACATAGAGGATGAAGAGGAAGCTAATATGGAAACATCGTCTTATGCCATTGTCAAGATGAAGAACCATATGTCTCTGCAACTCGTAATTGTTCAGGTACTTCAAACCTTGTGCCAGTTTAATTCGATGCTGATCGATTTGTATATCACGTCTTCCTTTGTAAATTTTGTTCAATACTCCGCTTTAATTGCACACCCAAATAAAATAGGAATTAGAACAAATAAAATACAACAAGAATTTTGCCTTCATGTTTTGTGTTCTGACATGCCAATAGTTATATTAAGATCACACTCACCATTCTGTGGCTTCTCTCCAGGGAATTGTTAAATTGTATGAGACACACAGGAGATCCTTCTGTGCTGAGCATATGGGCATAATTTTGGAGATGCTATCAGCCATTACGTCCCATGCAAGTGAAGTGAGTTCTGAATCTGCTTTGCACAATAAATTCCACAAAGCATGCTCCCTTCTGGAGATATCTGAGCCAGCAGTCATCCATTTCGAGAATGAGTCTTACCAGAGCTACCTCAAACTTCTGCAAGCTTTGCTTCACGACAACCCATCTTTGTCACGAGAAATGAACATTGAGTCACAAATTATGCTTGTTTCTGTGAAAATACTACGGAAATATCTGAACTGTGCAGGTCAGGAACCATCGAAGGACGCTTCTTGTAAAGATCCAGTTGTACACTGGGCGCTGCCTTTATCCGCTGCTAAGAAAGAGGAACTGTCTGCTAGAACCCCATTGGTCCTTCATGTAATGCGGTTACTTGGTGGTCTAGAGAGGGAGTGCTTTAGGAGGAATTTGCCCCTCCTTTTCCCTTTATTAGCTAATCTCGTTCGCTGCGAGCATAGCTCTAGAGAGGTTCAAGTTGCACTGTATGATGTCTTTCAGTCATCAATAGGCCCTATTATTTCAGTATAGCTTATATTGATGGTTCACCAATTGTACAATTTTGTCACTCGATCGTGGTAGGGTAACTTGATTGATGGTTACATAGAAATATGGAATAAGAAAAAGATTACAGCTTGGCAGTGCCGTAAATGATTCAAACCTGTTCCTCCAGCATTCTGGTGTTGAAGGTAAAAACCTCTTCCTGTTTCTTGGCACATCAACTTATTTTCAAGCATAGAGCAGGATATTAATGTACTCTTGTCAGTGTGGCAGCATCATGTAACATGTAACATCGACTCAGATACCTGGAGGGAGGAGACCTTTTGAAGGGCATTTTCCCTTCTTTCCTAACATTAATTTCGATTCGTGGGGGTTATCGTCGACGCCGCTGGCATTGAAGGCAAATGGATATATTGCAACAAAGTATGTCTGACTTTGAGGTCCTGCATCAACAGCTATGGAGTACTTATACAAGGGAGTGGTCTGTTCACCAGTGACCAAAATTTTGGGGTGTAGCCTTTCTTTTCCCTTTTGATTTGACAACAGCCTTGTATAGGGTTTTCTTTTGAACAAGACTAAAATAAAGTGTCTCATCTATCAAGTTCTTCCTTTTTTCCCAATCTTTCTGCCCTCTTTGAATTGCGATCACCGTGTCTTCATGGCAATAAACATGAGGATTTAGCTACATGAATAATGTGGTTTAAACGAAATAGTCATGTCTGAAACGGTAGGTGTAGGACACAAGCTGCCCTCATCCTGTAATTCTTTTGTCTTGTGGCCAAGTAGCTAACTGCTCTGGAAAGCGAAGGTTGGGTATATATACACTTGGAGATCACTATCCATGACTCAAGTTCACCGACTTGTTGAAAACTACCGCCCAACGAGCCACCAACGCTCAAGGCATTGACCAAGAAAAATGACATTTCGATGGCACAGAACATTAACTATTCTGGTAGGAGTTCCACAGTTTTTATTTCTTCTCTTATAGGAATGCGACAAGAATCAGTTCCAAACATGCCTTTTTTACATATGTTCATCTGCTTTCGGGCGTAAAAAGTAACATTTGTCCATGCTTGAAATAAGTAGGAGTAGCATTACAAGAAAGTGGCAGCAGGCAGCAAAAGTGAGATATACAAAGTCAACTTGTGCACCCACCACAAGAAGGGTAACTACCAACTAACTACTCCCTCTGTAACTTTTTATAAGACGTTTTCAGAGTCCACTACGAGCTAAAAGTCGTATGGTCGTCATCCTGCACAGGCTGCTGCAGGTAGGACCTCTTGATGAACTCCAAGCACTCAGCAATGGCCTGGTCGGCATGGAAGGAAACCGAGCTCTCCCTCCCCCGCAGTGCCGCCGGCCGTGCCGCTGATCTCGGCGCGGGTCGCCTCCTGATCCCAGGGCAGCACCTGAGCTCCTCCATGCACCGGACGACGAGGCCGGCAAGCCGGAACAGCCGCACCCGCAGCCGGAGCAGCGACCCCAGCCGGACGTGCCGCACCCGGCGCCCTCGCCGGCCCTGCCTCGCCTCATGGACCATCGCCATCGGGTGGCTGCCCCTGTATCTTCACTACCACTGGCCTGAACGGAGCTTGTGTTGTGTGTGTAATGTAAAGTCCACCATGTGTGCGCGGCCTCTTATATAGGCTCGGCGCCGGCGCACCGGTAAGCGCCGAGTGTTTGCCCGTCGTTTTCTCGTTCGCTCAAAGGCTTTATGGATGGAAAATGGCGCCGGTCAGGTGGTACAGTAAGTAAGACACCGCGTGACGCAGGGGTGCGGCCAGAGCCGCTGTTTTTAATACGTTATCGCTTGCATAAACCACTCGCCTGGAAATTTTCTCTTGGCGCCATCCTCTTTCGGAGGAATGCTCCCGTCATGTCATGCTGTGCGCCCTTGATCCTGTCGTGTACCAGGCTGCTGATGCGTTGTAGATTGCACCGCTATCTGAATCGGAACGGAATCCGTGTGCCCTCCATGGTTTCGTTCATGCTTGATACTACTTTCTTCATTTCTTTTTAGTCTGCATATAAAATTTAGTTAAAGTCAAATTTTATAAAGTTTGATCAATTTTATAGAAAAAAATATTTTTTTCGAAACGGTAGAAAAAAATATTAACATCTACAACACTAAAGCTATATGGTATAATAATTTCATGATGCATCTAACAATATATATTTCATATTAAGAATCTTGATATTTTTCTCTATAAACTTAGTCAAAATTAGTAAAATTTGACTTTGATCAAATCTTACATGCAGACTAAAAAGAAACAAAAGGAGTAGTTAATTGAGCAAGATGGAGAGTAACCACGACAAGTATTTTGGAACGGAGGGAGTACAATAATAGCGTTAAGAGCACAATCACACACACGCGCACGCACACAAATTATTCGAAATCATGGAGGGCACACGCGCCTGTGAGTTTTGACACGCCTGATCTGTCCCGTCCTGCATGCACTTCAGGAAGCAAGGCCCAAATGGCAACACTGATCGATTCGGTTTCGTCGCCTTCTTCTGTACCCTGTGGCGGGCCTTGACAGGACCTGAGAAAGTTTGCAGCAGTGGAATGGAGATCCATGGAAGAAAATTATGCCTTTTCCAGGAGCAAACCATGCGAGCTGTTGCAAATGGGACCTTGCCATGACTAAAATACTTGATCCAATGTGTCATGTACCCATTTGCATCAAGTCACGTTTTGTTTGTCATGGCACTTGCGTACTATTTGGAGAATCCAATGCCTTTAAGGTTCTTTATTTGCTAGGAAATAATCAGGCTGTCTCGACATCGATTTGACCTCTCTGGATATTCAGACAAAATAAAGAGATAGTGCCACTAGAAGCTGGCAAGATCAAATAACTTTGTGACAAAACGGAAAAATTATTCAATCCTCACCTCGATGAGGATTAATCAATCAAACTAGTGTACATGGATCACAACAATCAAGCCTACATATGCTTGGCGCATCTATAAGCTTTAGAGTCTAAAGCTTATTTGGCATAGAGGCACAGATTCAAACAACAAGTCATCAACAATATGACTGTTAATTATCTAAGGCTGCTCAGCGGGAAGTTGCGCAGCGGGTTCTCCTTAAGCAATTCAGTTTCCCTGTACAAAGAAAACAGGCAGGTCAAAAATTGAGAGAAGAAAACATAATATGTGGAAACGGAAGGTGCATCAGTAAACTGTTCTTACTTCTTAAGGTTTTTGCTTGTTGCTTGCCTAAGCTTCAGAACAGATGGTTTTGGACTCTTTGGCACTTGAGGCGGGGCTGGTTCCCTAAGATGGTCGAAAGGGAATTTAGAAACACTTTATGTTTGTATAGTGATTCCTATAAAACTGATAACTTAAGGATGTCGTATAACATACTCGGCACATTCTTCATCTATAAAGACCTCAATGGAGCTGACACGAGCTGGCGGAACTGCTGGCCGTGCTGCTACCTTCGGTGGAATCTGTTCAATGAAATGTCATCATCAGTTTATAACTGAACGGGAAGAGGACATGACAGTCTCTCTTCCATTATCTTAAATTAAATTTACCGAACGGGTAGTAGTCCGTCCTTCAGAAAATCACTACCACGGAAGTAATCTGAATCTGTTCTTTGAAGAATTCTAGTGGCTCCACAAAAATACCTTGTGCGAAGTCCATCTGGCAGGCATCATGTTATTTTCTTTGTTTCTATCTGCTTGTGTTCCAAGGGTGTTCCACGCCCTGTCTTTGCTCCTAGCTCTCTCAAGGCCCTGACTTGGCAATGGGTTCTCTTTGTAAATTGAAATCGGTGTATTAACATCGATTCTGTGAATGTGCCAATACAACCAGTGTTAGTCAAGAAACCCTCCTGGTTTGGCTAGATACCTTGTTTGATTACATGCTAATGGTACTGACCTTTGCAGCTTTACCCTAGGTTTTGCCAACAGGTGGGAATTCTCTGCATGCTGACCTCCTGCCACATCAAATTCAAGATTAGTTTACACCCAGCCAGTCACTTGAAGTTGACGCTGAACGACAGTATAGCACACCACACTTACTAGTTTCACCACGGTTCAAGTCATTACCGAATTTGCGTACGGGCTGATCATCACTTGCGGTATCATCCTGTTGCAAGAGATAATAAACGATTCAACAAAGAGTGGAGATCAGAAAAAAAGGAGGCTGCAATCACAAATAGAGCACCTCGTGTTCCTTCTTTCTGGTTGATCTCCGAAGAAATGCCCTGTATGTAGTTTCCAACTTCTCCACAGGCTTTGCTTTCCTGATGGAAAAAGAATGAACAACCCAAGGATAAAATTTCACCAGCTCAGTCAATTATATACACAATTGCATAGTTAGTGGAAGAGAGATGAGGTAATCATAAGACAATTCCTTCAATGTACAAAAAGAGAGGCAAGTCAAGTACTCTGCAGGTAAAGTGTGCAATGGTGCATACGATCTAGACCGAAAGAACAGTAAAATACAGGACTCCAAGAAATTTAGGATAGATCGCTTGCAGACTGGAAACTAATACGTAAAAAATATCTACACCGACACTCTCAGACTATCAAATTAACAATTGATATTTTTAGACGAAATTAGCAATTGGTCTTAGTAAACTAATACATCCTGCAAGACATATTTTTACGGGTGCTTGAATCTACAAAGTAACCCCAAATCCAACAACCTTTGAAACATAGAAGTGCCAGTGTCTCATAAGAAGAATCTCACCTAGCTATTCCAAGATTAAAGATCTCGTCAGCTTTCTTAAGCTTGTTCTTCGACTCCATTAGCAATGCATAGCGAATGTAGAAAACAGCATGGCCCTCACCAATCTGGTTGGACTCCAGGAACCTGAATATCACCTCAGCGTCCGAACAGTTCCCAGCCTGCAAACCAAACTGCAGGTCAAATATACACGCTTCGGAAGTACAAAATAGATCAAGCCGAATTCAGTCAGCAACTCACATATTCTAACCACACTTTGAGGTACCGGAGATCATCCTTGTACCGCTCGTCATGCCAGAAGGCACGCACGCACTGCTCGTAGATCACGACCAGCCCTGAGAACTCCCCGCCGGCCGGAAACGACTCCTGGACCCATTTGATGCAGCTGCGCACAGGCAAAGCGGTGAGCACTGAGCCTATAGAAATCGATGCAAGGAGAAACCTTTGCACTCCAGGTTCTAGCTAGTGTGATTAGTACCATCCAAGAAACCATGTACAGAAAGGGGAGGACGGATCAAGTAGAACTTACTCTACCCACGGCTGGAGCGGATCTTCCCCTTGGTACTCTTCGATTGCTTGGATCATCCTCCTGGATCAGTCAATTCATCAAACACCGAACAAGCAAGAATATCAGGCACTCGTCCCCAGACCAGAAAGAACCAGAACCGAAGAAGCAAGGAAGGCCTTGCTAAGTAAGAGCCGAGGGTTTTCCGTACCCGCGTTCGGCCAGGAGCGCGGCGCGCTGGGCGGGGTCGGTGTGCGCCTTGAGGGCTTGGTTGAGGAGGCCGACGTTCCGCCCGCGTTTCAGCGGCCGCACGTTCTCCTTGAAGGTCTCCCACTCGCCGCACACGGCCACCGGCGCCATATCGGGCCCTGCCCCCAGCAGCGCCAGAGTCTCCGCGTCTAGCGCCGCCAGGTCTCTCGCCGCCGCCGCCGCCATGCGTACCGCTCCGAAGCCGACCGTTGGGAGAGGGTAGGTTTCAAACTCGTCGATTGGACCGTTGCGTTGAGGAGCGGGCGCAGGGTTGGGTTATATACATACAATGGCTGGGCTCTTGTCGGTTTTGGGCTTGAAAAGTACGGGCCCAGATCTACGGCCCACCTGATGTATGGTACTCCCTCCATTTCATAATGTAGTGCTTCCTCTATTCCTATGCTTCAACTTTGACCGTAAATTTAACTATCAAGACCGATTGCGGCGGGAGCAAAAATTATATAAGTGAATTTGTATTCGAAAGAATTTTCCAGTTATATAATTTTTTTCTTCAATTGTAGTTGGTCTCGTTGGTTAAATTTATGGTCAAAGTTGAACCTTGAAAAGCGCGGACGCACTATATTTTGGAATGAAGGGAGTATGATTCTTCTTCATGCATTCAAAAACAGTATTATCCCCGAAAATTATATAATATATCCAGAAACACTATTCTACAGAACAATTGTATGGGTTAATATTTTTCTATACAGAAACTGATAAGTGTTCATTTCAATGATTTTCTGGCGAATGTTAAAAATCCGCATCCTCAGAGCAAACATATTTTTCAAGAGGGGATCCGAATGGTAATCAAAGCTCAAAGTGTTGGCAATCAATTGATAAGACCGGACGAGCAACACACAATTGAGGTCAATCAATTATATATTGAGGATGGATCAATTATTTTCCACATGTATGTTACATGATGAGGCTATGCTTGCATGTTGAGAAAAATAGTTTAGTGAGCGCTAACTATTAAGATATAGAATATGTTTTATCTCTCGGTCAGAGGTGAACTAATTATCTGGTTTAAGGGGATAAGCGGGACTCCACTTGCATCCTTAGTTATAACACGCAATATTCATCTATATGACATTTCGAGACAACGTACAAGAGACTATAGAATCGTGCAAGTGCAAACCATGTCCATGTCTTAATCCGTACCAAATGTATTTATTTCGTGCACTCCACATTTTTATTTAATTGTGCCCTTTAAGGTCATGTGGTTTACTACCCCAACTCCACACTCGGAGCTTGTCCTTGGACAATCTCAGATGACAAATTTCCATTGCCTCGCAAACCTCTATCACAACCTCGGAGCTTGCCACTAGTGAAGTTATGGATCCCTGTAATTCCTCGTAATCACAACCGCGATGCCTTTTGCTATTTTTCCTTATAGGTTAAACCATTTTTACCTTTTATTCTATAAATCAATTCCAAGCATACAATACGCTTATCCTTGTAACTAGCAAAGCTAGCAAGACCTCGGTGACAAGTTGGGAACCAAGAATAAGTTCTTAATTGTGTGCAAGTATTGATCGTTGAGTCGTAAATTGAGCACCCCATAGATTGATAATCTTGGTTCTTCAATGAGGAAAATTTGCTGCTTACTGCAAGCCCTTACTCTTCGGGGCCCAACACCTCCCTAGAAGGATAACAGGAAGCCCCCCCTGATGAGTCGATAGCTAGTTTCCATCCATCAGAAATGACTGGATAATGCCATGACTAACCTGTTTTTAACTCATCTGCCATGGTATTTTTGCTCTACGAGTGAATACTACTCGGCTTATCAATTTTATTTCCACAGGAGTTTTATGAGCCCCTCACAATCTTCCTACAAGCAACAATGGCGCGCGCTCAGGCGGATACAACTTGGGTAACTTGCCCATGGGAGGAGGCTAAATCACTTGACAAGCTACATCCAAATCGTGAAGGACCCGTTTGGTACTGATGATGACATAGCACCCAAGTACTGTTAACGGTGCATCGTTGCCTTGGAGTACAAGACATAAACATATAAGGCGGGCAGGGATCCCTCGACTAGGAGATCCGCTTGTAAACCGCCCCAAGCTCATGTAACCCTACCATGTCAACATATAAGGCAAACAGGGATGGCTTAATCTTTGAGACAAGCATATAACTACTGGCAGGATCAACCAGGTAGCACGCCCTTGATGACGCCCAGCGTCGGCCATCCTCCTGCGCTTCCACTTGCGTGGAAACTCAGAGGCAACAGCCGAGCTGGATGTCGCTTTTTTGAGTGGCATAGCTCATCCTCCTTGAGGATCGGCACAAAGAGTCACGTATCCTACCACGTAACTATGAAGAGGTAGAGGCATCCCCCGTTCAGTGTGTTCTCATGTTCCCATAGACACACAAACCCTAGAGAGTTTGTCTCAAAACCTTGACATCTCAAATCAAAAGGCGCATACGGAATACCAACAATACAATCCGCCAAACACAGGAAGTAGGGTGTTACCTGGATACCCAATTTGGCTCTCTGGAACATTTGCTCTTGCGCACCAAATATTTTTGCAAATGTAAAAAAAAAGAATGACTTTTTGTAGACATGGTATACTCCTAAATGTTATCTTCAAATGCTTAGGTGGAAAGTCCAAACATTTTGATCTGTAAAAAAGAAAAATTTAAACGCCAAAAATTTAGCATTTGTCGATCACGTAAAACTTGTTTTTCATTGACGACACACTACTATTCAGTTAAGCGTAAACCAAGGTGTAAAAAATTCTTGTTCACATGAAAATCTCTTAGTAGTGCAGTAGCATCACATATGAACAGGGATTTTCATATGAATAGTCTTGGTTTATGAAATTACAAGATTGAATGACACGAACAAGTCAACAATATACTACTCCCTCAGTCTCACAATATAGGATGTTATTACAACCGATATACTCACATATTGATTGTAATAACATCTTATATCACAGGATGAAGGGAGTAAACATAGATAAATTATCTAGATCAGTTGCATCATTCATGAATTCCATAGTTCTTAAACCTGATGTCATAGGTTTTTTTTTCTTTCCACTACAATGGCTACATCTTGAGGGTAATCACACTTAACAATACTAGATGCAGGATTACACTAGAAAAAGCGAAGGGTCACACATAGATGGCTTGCTTATAGCCTTCGCTGTGGCTGCAGCTGTGAAGGCTCCTCCACAAGACCTTCCAAGACAACAAGCTGATCCAGCAATGCAAACTTCTCATCCTCGAGAGTTTTGGCTTCCTCTTCTGCCATGCCTAATTGTGCATCCAGCGTGTAGTTCTCTTCCTCCAGCATCATGTACTTCCTCCGTAGCGCCCGATATTCATCCGCAGGACCAGAATCTGGTAGAGAGTCCGGAGTTCCTCTGTCAGACTGCGGCGTGGGAGGGCGGGGCTCACTCCTGAAGCTTCTCTTAGGTGGCTTCTGTGTATTGGCCAACGAATGTGGAATGTCTCTCCGCAGCAGTTCAGGTTCAGTTTTTATCTGGACTGAAGGCAAAGGCCGGTACACAACCTTCCTCTTCTGTGACTTCGAGGCCGAGAAATCCTCTCGTCCCATACCTCTAGGGTCTTGCATTATGTCGAAACAAGACTCGCCTGACAAACACAACTCAAGTGAACCAATCTACCAAAGCAGCAATATAAATTGAGAAAGACAAAGAAGGCTATTCGATGGAATCATCAGCATTACATTATCTCGAAAAAAAAATACTAGTACTAATCAAGGAATGCTCGTCTGAAGTGAAGCCACACGCTCACACAGTATCAACCCGTCCAAGAGGAGCAGGTGTTAGTTGTTGGTTTTTACCCTTTGCCATTACCCAATAGGATGCTCAGCCAGCAAAGGTGGGAGCAACTGCAAGGATGTTGCAGGATAACCTGTATCTGTTGTTATCTTGCTGACGTTTCCCCCTACTGATTCCAACCCGCAGCTTCACAGCACCAAAATCGAAGGAACTCGCAGCAGCAAGTGCCATCGAATTTGACCTGACCTAAGCCATCGGCGCAACCATCCTCAAGGGCGTCGGCGGCGCTGGCACGAGATCTCTACTCCCTACCACAACCGTCTACACGACAGTACGAGGAGAAAGAAAATTTATCCGGCGGAATCAACTGAAGCCGGAGAGTAGAGGAATCCGGACTAGGGCAGGCAGTGGTGCGACGCGAACCCACCGCCCTCGCCGGCGTTGATCGGGAACGAGATGGGAGGCTTAATTACCTTGCTGGTGCCCGCGGGGGAGCAGGGGGACGGACGCCCTGGGACCGGCTGCTCGCTGCCGCGCCGGCGTCGAAACCCCAAACGGATTCTGCGCGTGCGGTGGTGGGAGCCGATCTGGCGTATAAGGTTGGGAGGCGCGCGCGTGGGGTCGATGAATCCAGGGGAGGGGAAGGCTTTGCGACTTGAGTCGAGAAGACGGGGAGAGAGTTTTTTTTTTCTAGAACAGGGAGAGAAGGGGGTTGGGTTGGGAGGAGAAGGAATAGGCACACATGGCCGTGAGAATGGGTGCGTCTATGCCACGCTTGGAGGCGGCGAATGCTATTTCTCGCATTAACCGTGTACATAGGAAATCCTAATATATCTCTACTATCTAAAAAACACGTAGTGTTGCTTTTTCTGCCAACAGAATCATGTTCTGCCTCATTCTTCGTCCGCTCGCTCTCCTCCCGTCTCGTTTTTTCCGGTCCTATAAATTGTTTTCTACGTCCGTTTAGCTTTCTCCCCATGCCGTCGAACGTCTCTCTCTCATCTCTCCTATCAGCGCCCCCCGTCCCATCATGGCGTAGCCCTAGATGGCTGACGCCGCCTCTGGCCTCCCTCTCCCTCGATCCTCAACTTACCAGCAGTCGCCGCCATCACGCTGTTCTAGGCACCCTAGGCCATCGTGAGCGCCGCCACTGCTCATCTCCTCTTCGCGCCCCCGCTCTCAGATCCAGGCTGCTCGTTGGTGCCTAGCCCCAGCGTAGCGCTCATCGTTTACATCTCCTCCTGAAGGAAATATGCCCTAGAGGCAATACTAAAGTTATTATTTATTTCCTTATTTCATGATAAATGTTTATTATTCATGCTAGAATTGTATTAACCAAAAACATAATACATGTGTGAATACATAGACAAACATAGTGTCACTAGTATGTCTCTACTTGACTAGCTCATTGATCAAAGATGGTTAAGTTTCCTAACCATAGACATGAGTTGTTATTTGATCAATGTGATCACATCATTAGGAGAATGATGTGATTGACTTGACCCATTCCGTTAGCTTAGCACTTGATCGTTTGTTTACTGCTATTGCTTTCTTCATGACTTATACATGTTCTTATGACTATGAGATTATGCAACTCCCGAATACCGGAGGAACACTGTGTGCTACCAAACGTCACAATGTAACTGGGTGATTATAAAGGTGCTCTACAGGTGTCTCCAATGGTACTTGTTGAGTTGGCATAGATCAAGATTAGGATTTGTCACTCCGATTGTCGGAGAGGTATCTCTGGGCCCTCTCGGTAATACACATCACTATAAGCCTTGCAAGCATGATAACTAATGCGTTAGTTACGGATGATATATTATGGAACGAATAAAGAGACTTGCCGGTAACGAGATTAAACTAGGTATTGAGATATCGACGATCGAATTTCGGACAAGTAACATACTGTTGACAAAGAGAACAACGTATAGTGTTGTGCGGTTTGATCAATAAAGATCTTCGTAGAATATGTAGGAACCAATATGAGCATCCAGGTTCCTCTATTGGTTATTGACCGGAGACGCGTCTCAGTCATGTCTATATAGTTCTCGAACCTGTAGGGTCCGCACGCTTAAAGTTCTGCGACGATCGGTTTTATGAGTTTATATGTTTTGATGTACCGAAGGTAGTTTGGAGTCCCGGATGTGATCACGGACATGACGAGGAGTCTCGAAATGGTCGAGACATAAAGATTGATATATTGCTACATTTGGACATCGAAATAGTTCCGGATGAAATCGAGATTTTACCGGAGTACCGAAGGGGTTACCAGAACCCCCCGGGGGCTAATGGGCCCTGTTGGGCCATAAGGGAAAGAGAGAGGGGCCGACTTAGGGCAGGCAGCGTGCCCCCTTCCCCCTGTCCGAATTGGACTAGGAGAAGGCCCCCCTTTTCCTTCTCTTTATCTTCCTGCCTTTCCCCCTCCTAGTAGGAGTAGGAAAGGGAGGAATCCTACTCCTACTAGGAGGAGGATTCCTCCTCCTAGGCACGCCAAGAAGGGCCGGCCGGCCTCCCCCTTGCTCCTTTATATACAGGGGCAGGGGGCACCTCTAGACACACAAGTTGATCACAAAGATCTCTCCTAGCCGTGTGCGGTGTCCCCCTCCACCATAATCCACCTTGGTCATACTGTAGCGGTGTTTAGGCGAAGCCTTGCTGTGGTAGCTTCATCAACATCGTCACCACCCCATCATGCTGACGAAACTCCCAGGCCGCTCCCACGGCCCTCCGACAGGTTCGTGGCGAAGTCACGGCCGGCACAATAGCTACACTCCCAGGCTGCTCCTGGTCCCACTACTCCATGCGTCGTTGGTCCGTAGCCGCCATCGCCGACCATTCCTCCTATGATTTCACATCGTTCGCTATTGGAGATGAACAAGAGAAAGAGATGGAGAGATCGCAAGGTACTCAACAAGAAAAAATTACAGGCAGTTCCACCTGGAGCCGGGAAAAGCTGTGGAGATTGAATGTACTGTAAAGATTTAGGATGTAAACTAGGAGGTGATCAAAGTATTGGAGGGGCTGGGATTTTGTCAAGGTCAACTCTATCATATTGTTGCTATTTTTAATAGCTTTCTGCAATGCATTCAATCCATAAGATTATGTACTGTCCGTTAAGTCTATTTTGGCATCAAATCTTATTAATTCATACCTGAAATAAATTGATATTCCTTTGATTTACCAAGCCCCTTGGAATGTTTACTCATATGAGAACACTCTCTTGGTATGCTATTTCTGATACATATCCTTCCATGTGTACTAAAAATACCCATCTTCCATTTTACTGAGAGGGGGTGTTACTGGTGGTTCACTGCTATATTTGATGTGAAAGTGTAAATTGTGTGTCTGATTAGGCTTTCTCTTTGGTTACTATTGGAATAGGAGGTTGCCTGATTTCCTTTTATGCCATAGTTCACACCACATTTTTGTTTTTAGGCTCATGTCTAAGTTGATTTGAAGGCTATGCACATGTTGCTCCAATGTATATTACAGAAACTCCTCAAAGTCAGATTGGAGGAATGCCCATTTCTTCATCACTTCGGGGGTAAACGTAGTACGTGGAGCAAGTTATTGCTTCCCTTCTCATTTTTTGCTTTCAAGAATCAAGTATTATGATTAATGTAATTTTTTTAATTTTGTAGCCTCATTTGTGATCTTGTTCATTTTATTCCTTGTTAATATGATCAAGGATCTCATTGCTACTTTGTCTCAATAATTTTATATCTACTTCATGTCATCACAAATACATGTTTTTAGTAGGATCCATATTTTCTTTGTTCTATTTTGGTCTTACCTTAAGGCCATACCACTGCAGAAAACTTGGCTAACTTGGGAGTATGATTCATGCTTTATGATGTTGCGAGTGACTTCTCGTGTTTAGTGCATGCGGCGTAGATCAGTTGATGGAGAATTGCAACAAGGAGAAGAGCCGACTTAACTGCAGTCCACACAGCACAAACGAACCAGGTAGCAATATCGAGCTACATGTGCTCACTGATTTCTTTCGTTGTGCATACAATCCTCGTTTTTAATATTTTGTTTTGTACCTGTGTTTGGATCTGATGTTATGTGTTTGCATACTTGACAAGTGTGAACTACAGTTCTCTGTAGAATTTGGACTTCCTGTACTCCTCTCATATAACCTGCGTTTTTGCGTATGTTTAATCTCTTATGGGCCGATATTTTACAAACATCCCAAAACTGGGTAGGATAAAGATTTACCGCTTGAGATCAATCTTTCAAATAGACGATGTGCGAGAATGAGAAGATAGTTGAACTGACACTATGCGTGCTTGAGAAAATTGAGAACCTCTACTTGCCAATTGATAAATAAATATCTAAAACACTTCCTTAAGAGTTCTGTACATATTTCCCGTAGGAGCTTGAATAGAGAAAATAACGCTTTGATTTTTGTTAGCGATATGAAACTTCAGTGCTTATCTCCATATGAGTTGCCATCACTTATAATGAAGAATAAAAATCAAGGTAATGACTATATTACATCAATTGTGGTCTGAAAGAAACAAAACCAGGGAGGATGGTGAAAGTACAAATGTAGAAGAGCTTTCTTATATTGTCTCCAAGCAAGCTGGGGAATACTATACGTTTTTCAAAAAAGGAGATGAAATAAGAACCGAAATAAAAACAAAGGAAATGACAATGACCTGAAAGAGGAACTTTGAAGGTAAACCGTGACGGAGTTTTCCTTGCTGAAAATACTAATGGTGGTTGTGCGGCCACAGATTGGTGATGATGAAGAAGATGTAGTCGATTGTGGGATGATAACCCACAAGGATAGGGGATCACAACAGTTTTTGAAGGTAGAGCA